CACTTCTCCGGGTCCAAAGATGCGACTAATACAACCAGCAACCCAACCATCACCATGACCGATGTCCAAGCAGACGATGAGGCTGGTTATTACTGTGGCACAGGGAGTGGGGTGCAGCACAGTGATGCAGCCAGACGAGAACTTACACAAAACCCTTGTGTTCCAGCAGCCCGTACGGCGCATGGCTCCAGTCTGTGTGTGTCTGGGCGCGATGCTCCTCCACGCAGATGTGTTGGGGTTTAACTAGGCACATTCCAATCACCAGTGAGGGGCACTACTAAGGACTATCAAGATCTGCACATTTAAGGTCAAATCTTGGGTCCCGTGACGCAATGGGCATTTGTCATTTATTGTCCATGGGATGAGGATGAGACCCTTTATGAAAACTCACAGTGGTACCCAGATCCAGTGATAATCCCAAAGAAAACCCTCCAATGTCCCCTTCCCAAGTACATGCCGTGGGAGGAGAGACTCCTGTCCGTGAAATACCAGGTCACCCTGCAGTGCCAACCCAGCGAGATTCAGAGCCCAAACAGCCGGGTGTTAGGTCCCAGAGCCCGGGCATTTCACACACACAAAGCCAGGGCAGGAAAAGAACAGAGACAGGGTCCTGATAAGAACAGCCCCATTACCAAGGGCCAAGCCTGCAAAATGATCAGGCTACACAACACACAGAAGCCACATTGAGAGCAAGTGAGTAGTAAAGCCCCCCAGCACTTTCACTCCTCAGTCCTGCTATCCACGTATCTGACAAGTCACCGGGTGTTCCTAAGTCCGGGCTATCTCTACTTGTGAAATAGTAGCACGGGAGGGGAGTTGTAGGGACATATTAACACACAGACACATTCATAAGACAATCTGGGCTGTCTGTAGCTGGGAACGACAATGAATCTCTCCTTAAACTCCAGAGATGGAAAGAAAACAATGGGATTTGGGAGGTACTTGGATTTTCCTCATCTACTCTTCTGCAGCTCAGTGACGGGGATCGGTTACGACTCTGCACCAGAGGGCGACGTCTCCCTGCATTTGCACTGTGAACTGTCTACAATGGAATTAAGTAACTGACACATATTTATCTTCACCTGTGTGTGCACCAGTCTGTGGTGTTCAAACAGCTGCTTCCTGTCCAATCCCTGGTGCAGAAAGATTGGGTGGGGTAGAGGTGAGACAGAGCATTGAAGGAACCCCAGTGCATTGAGTTAGGTTGGAGATTTATAAATAACTGCTCTGGTGTAGCTGCTGGACACTGATTTATAAAGATTTTTTTAACACGTACATTTAATGTCAAACTGTGCAAGAAAAAGTTGCCCAGGAATGTTCTGCAGAGGTGGCTGCACTGCAGTGGTGGGTGCAGTAATCCTGCCCATTTAGAGCTAGTATAAAATGTCTCTGTGTAATAATGCTGAGCTCTACTGTCTTGCTCTACAGAGAGTAAGAAGTGAACAGTTTTTTCTGGTATAGGATCAGCTGCTACAAAAGAACCATGCCGCCGAGATCTAACAGTCAGTTCAACAGAACTTGTAGTACTCGCTGAGATAGGCCCATCTGGTGACTCTAATAACACCTCCACTGGTATCAGTTAAATGGCCGTGAAAACTGAACTCCCCTGTGACCCAGAGCTAACCCAGGACAGTCTGATGGCTGAGGAGCAGGTTCTACAGGTCACTCTCTGTAGGTAAATCGAGTGTAATTGTCGCCCCCTGCTGGGCTGGCTGGAGCACTGTGAGAACCAACCCTTTTCCTGGGACAGCACATGGGAGCCAGGTGGCCCACGACTCAGAGACA